GTCAATTGAAAATTGAGTTTCGGTTGTAAATCGATGGCACAAAGGAGAGCATAACATGTGTTTTCTGTTTTCACGAGCTATTTATCATGAAGAATGCATCATTCATGATAAATGTGTATTATTCATCATGAATACTAATTTAACATGGATCATAAATGTATTATTAATCATGAATGTTGTATCATTAATCATGAATAGTTCATGACCTTCACGTTTGTTATTCATACTGAATGTGGATGCTAGAGACACATGTCGTGCTCTTCTTTGTCCTCCATTTCACAACCGAAAATCAGTTTGTAATAAAAGCCCCTCTATATATTTAGAAAAAATCAAGAGAGAATCCTTAAAAAAAAGAATCGGATAACTATGAAAAATGGATGGAAAAAATATATGAATATATAATTAAATTAGCCTTGTAATTTGTAATTGGCGAAGACAACGAGCGAAGCAAATTTCACCAAAAAACGACAATGACATCCTTTTTGATATATTTTTTCATCAATATTATCTTTAGTAAAAGAGATGTCGGTTTTACCATCTTCGCCAAAATAAGAAGCCAAGAATACCATGACTTTTACTTCTCGATGATCACAAACCTAAATACCTTTTTTTTCTCCATAGAATGTGTGTGTGTGTGTTTTTTTTATGTATTTTCTCTTCTTATGTTACGTTTGTTGCATTTAGATGATAGCATTTGTGTTGCCAAAGCTCCATGAGTGTACATGTTTAATGTCGATAGCTGATTCAGGAAATTTATGGACCGGAGACACATAATGAAATACCATATCATTAAACTGGTCTTTACGAGTTTTCATCATTAAAAAACGAATCATTACATCTTATTTTGTAACATTAACAAGTCTTTTTCTACAGCACATGTTACACAACCATTTAAAAAACCATCAGAAGTTGGATTGCATAAAGTCCTTCATCTGGAGCTCTTTATTCAAATTCAGTCATGGCTTCATGGGATTTGGTTTGGAGCTTTTATCCATAAAGCTGGTGGCTCGTTGTCAGAAGATAGCCTAACCATTATAGGGCTAGGGCTAGGGCTAGGGTTAGAGTGGGGGCCTTGACTGGAACCACTGTGGGGAACTATGGTAGAAGAGCGAAAAGAACAACTTTTTTAACCCAAATATATATATATATATATATATATATATATTTTTACTTTTTCCCCTCCTTTTCTATGCTAAGTCCGCCACGGCACCCCTGCTTAATGCAACACAGTTCAATCTAAATGCCAAAGTTAAGAGTTTGAATCTTCAATTATATTTTAATATTTGATCCAGTGATGGATTCAAAAAAAATATTTGACAGGGTTTGGAATTTCATTTTTTTATCATTGTTAATCTATAAAACTCAAATTTAAAAATTGGCATGCTACTATAGCCTCTCGTTTCTTTTCGCCGATAATGACCGTGACAGTATAAAACAAGGGGGTTGCTAACTATTCATACCTTAAGAGGGGGTACGAATATAATTCACCTAAAACAAATCAGAGATTACTATTTGTACCCCTTTTAATGTCAAAATCAGGTTAATTCATACATTAATAATGTATAAGTAAAATTTGATGTTGATACATATGAGAATCATTGGCGTAGACAATGAGGGGACTAAGATGGTGCCAAACCCCCCTAAACATTGTCCTAACCAATTTTACTTTTATTTAATTTAATAGATTAACGATTCTACCCTTACATACAGGGTTATCGGATACCCATAGAGAGGTATACATGGTTACAAGATACTCATGAGGGGAGGCATATTATAGTACTTTCTGTTTGTATGAAGTTATGTAAATGTAACTATAAATAATGTTAAAATTGTAATTTGTTTGAATTTTTATTTAACAAAAAAATGAAATGATTTAAAGCGATCTTGCAAACTACAATATCAACTGATATTCCTACATTATATTTATCCCCTCTATATTAATTTTTTGACTCCACCTCTAATAAGAAGAAAAATACTATATATAAATACATTAGTAATATATTAGAAGAGTACTCGCACAATGCAGCGAGACACATCTTGATTTTAATGTTCTATTTTATTCTTTGTCTCTATTGATGTTATAATACGATTTTATGCGTTTTAAAGAAAACAATAATGATTTTATTTTTGAATAAAATATAAATTTAAAAAAAATTATATCAATTTTAATATCAAATCAACTATTTAAAAGTTTTTACTTTTTAT